ACAGACAGACAGACAGACAGACAGTCAGACAGACAGTCAGTCAGACAGACAGACAGACAGTCAGACAGACAGTCAGTCAGACAGACAGACAGACAGACAGACAGACAGACAGACAGACAGACAGACAGACAGACAGACAGACAGACAGACAGACAGACAGACAGACAGACAGACAGACAGACAGACAGACAGACAGACAGACACGACTGTTTGATTTTTTTTTCTTCTATAAACAAGAAGATTTTGATACTCTGATTTTGCTCCGCCAATGAAAGTAGTTACAAATAAAGCCACAGAAGAAGCGCTGCAACACAAAAACTGTGTTTTGTTCCTCAATGAATCAGCGTTTCTGAATAATTGACTGAATGATTCAATGATTCACTCATTTGTTTTCTTCCTCAATTATGTAATGTTTTTTAAAAGGGAAAATTCACATCATCATTTACTCACCCTCATGTCATTCCAAACGTACATGAGCTTTTTTCTTCTGTTAAGCATAGAAGAAGAATGTGTTTAACCAAAGAGCTGACGGTAGCCACTGACTTCAATATCATGAAGAAAAATACCATGGAAGTCAATGGCTACCGTAAACTGTTTGGTTAAACACATTCTACAAAATATTTTCTTTTGTGTTCAACTAAAGAAAAAAAATCCTACAGGTTTGGAACGAGATGAGAGTGAGTAAATGATGACAGAATTTTCATTTTTGTGTGAACTATCTCTTTAAGAAATTAGTTTAATAAAATAATCAATGACTCACTTATATACTTCAATAATTATGTTTTCAAACCAATAGGTTGAATGAATGATTCAGTTACTCACTTGTTTTGTTCCTGAATGATTCAATGTTTTTGAACAAATCAGTTGAATGAATGATTCAATGATTCAACGATTGAGTCAAAGGATTCACTTATAAAGACAGTCACGTGTCACGTGTAAGTATGTAACTTGTGGAAAGAGTCAGTGTAAAATCTCCTACACACAGATGGACCGTCTGTCTTTGGAACAAACTGTCCCAGTGTGTATCAGGACTTCTGTTTGACCAATCAGATTCAACTGCTGATGATAAATAACACACTCAGTATTTATTACCGTATAGGAATGTTTTATCACAGACATAGAAATGACAGAGGAAAACACAGAGATGCGACCTGTCCTGTCTTAACCTCTGTGTGTGTGTGTGTGTGTGTGTGTGAGTGTGTGTGTGAGTGAGAGTGTGTGTGTGTGTGTGTGTG